CCGGCCCGCCGCCGCCGGGCCGCTCGCGCCGGGCCGGCCGCCCCCGCGGCGGCGCCCCCGGCGCGGGCCCCGGCGACGGCGACCGCGCGCCCGCCGCGGCGGCGCCGGGCCGCGGCGACGGCGACCGGCGCGGCGACGCGCCGGGCCGCGGTGACGGCGACCGCCGCGGCGACGCGCCGCGCGCCGCGACCGCGCGCCGCGCCTCGGCGACGAGCGCGCCCGCGCTCCGCGTCGGCGGCGGCGGCGGCGGCAGGGGCGCGGGGGCCGCGGCGGGCGCCGCCGCGGGGGCCGCGGCGCCGCCGGGGGGCGCGAGCGCGGGCGCGGCGCCGCCGCGCCGCCGCGCGTTGACCGCGGCGACCCACCGCTCCGCGGCCACGGCCGACTCGGCGATGAAGGACGCCGACTCGCCGCCGACGCGGTCCACGTCGAAGCCGCAGGGCCCGGGCTCGCAGCCCGCGCCCGCGGCCCGCCAGGACCGCGCCTCCTCGATCGCCGGCCACGGCACGACCTCGCCGCCGGCGACGACGCCGACCGCCGACAGGCCGAACCCGCAGGGCTCCCAGCGCCAGAGCTCGTCGCAGAGCACGCGCCGCTTCACCGTGCCGGCGAGCGCGAGCTCGTCCGCCGTTGGCATCGCGTATGAAATTCGGCTCTCCACAGTGTCATCCACACCCCCGGCGGCGTTCGAAAGGTTTTCAAGATGTGTCAAAGGAGGCTGATGTAAGAATATCGGATTTTCCTTACCTTGCTGTCCAGGCGACGATCGATATGGCAGCCCCGACCGGCATCGCCGCGTAGCCGCGGCGGTCGAATCGGGCGAGCGTTTTCCGCGCGCGCACTGCGTTTTCCGGGCGCGCTCTGTGGCCATGAATTCCCCCGCCGCCGTCGCTGCGCTCCTCGCCCTGCCGCGGGCGGCGATCTGCACGACGGTGACGGTAGAAGTCACTCATACGGACGGAAGCGTCGTCTCCACCGAGACTCTCGAAAACGATGGCAAAGACGTCCAGGTGATTCCTGGCGACGCGGAGGTCAACGAGTACACGCTGCAGCTTACCTGCGCAGACGTGCCGTCGCTCTCCGACGCCATCGTATTCGAGGTCTCGTATACGCCGGCACCGACTCTAACGCCGAGCGAGGCTCCATCGTTCGCGCCCTCGAAGCCACCGCTCGAGTCGTACGGTGTCGTCGGCGGGGTCACGGTGACGTTTTCGGGCATGAGCGGCGACGAAGCGTCGGAGCACGACGCTGTGTTCGTCGCGGCGATTGCCGAGCTAGCTGGAGCCGACGACGAGCTCGTATCCGTCTCGCTCAGCGACGCGCGTCGAAGAAGATTGCTCGCGTCGTCGGCGTACTGCGAATACACCATCGAAGTCGCGTCGGAGACGATCGACGCGCGGGAGTGGGAGTCCGCCATCGAAGTCGCGCTCGCGAAGACCTTCGGCGACGGCGGCGGCGAGGGCGAGACCGACCGCGGGGCCGGCGCCGGCGGCGCGACCCGGGGCGGGGCGCCCGCGGGCCCGGTCCCCGCCGGCGCCGGCCCGGGGCGGGGCGCGGGCCCGGTCGCGCTCGCGCCCCCGCCGGCGCACGAGTTCTAAGGCGGGTTGGGGCCCGGGGGCTCGCGCGGGATCGCGCTGCGAATTGCGGGGCGGCCGGTCACTGGAAGAACTGGACCTTCTCCTGGCCCGACTCCTTGACGAGGATGACGCGGCGGAGGCCGCGGATCATGGTGTCGACGGAGTCCATCCACGCGGCGGCCGTCGCGTTGGCCCGGCGCTTGGGGAGGGAGATGACGACGAGCTCGGCGCCCCCCGAGTGGGCCGCGATGAGGCCCGTGAGCTTGGACGGCGCCGCGGCGGGCGCGCCGCCGTCGCCGTCGTCGACGCGCACGTCCGCGGCGCCGAGCGCCGCGTCGCCGACGTACTTGGTGATGGAGTCGCGCACGTCCGGCGCCTTGGCGCGGCGGGAGTGCTGCGCGTCGAGGCCCGGCGCGTAGCGCGGCGCGTCCTTCGCGTCGACCTCGAGGAGCACGACGTCCGCGATGACGCCGCCGGCGCGGAGCATGGCCCGCACCGCGGCCTCGAGGCGCGCCTCGTCCGCGCCCCGCGGCGACACGACGATGAGGCGCATCTTGCAGCGGGCCCAGACCCGGTCCTTCTTGAGGAGGAAGGGCAGGAGGAGGAGCAGGCCGCCCGCGGGGAAGAGGTCGAAGACCCACCAGACGTCGATCGTGCCGCCGTCGAGGACCCGCGCGCCGTCGCGGCCGTCGGGGTAGTCGACGGCGCCGCTGCAGACGAGCACGGTCTTGCCCACGGCGTGGGCGTCGTCGACGATGGACGCGAAGCCGCCCGCGTCGAAGCCGGCGCCCTCGCGGCGCCGGTCGGGCCAGCCGACGGCGACCGTGTTGGGCCGGAAGTGGCCGAGGCCCTTGGCCTGGAGGAGCAGCCGCTGGCCTACCAGCGCGACGGTGTTTCATCGTTTTCGAAATCTCTCGGAAATCGTCGCGGCCGCGGGACGCCGCCGCTGGCCCTCGACGACGCTCGCCGCGACGACGACGTCGGCGAAGCCCTCGACGCCCCGCTCCCGGAGCGTCGCGCGGAGGTTGCGGCGCGCGCGCTGCGCGCACGCGACGACGTCGGCGTCGATGCGCGGCGCGGGCACGACGCCGTTGACGAGCGCGAGGCCCTTGCCCCGGCGCATGAGCTGGGCGATCATGTTGATCATGCCCGCCTGGGGCACGTAGGACACGTCGCCGACGGGGTCGAGCTTGCAGAGGAAGAGCACGAAGGGCCGCCAGTACTTGAACTGGATGTCGCCCGCCTCGAGCGCCTGCGCGCGGGGGGGGCGGGGGCGCTCCGGGGCCCGCGCGCGGCGGCGCCGGCGCGCCGCGATCCCCGTCGCGTCGGCGCCGCGGGGGGGGGGGGAGACGCGCCGCGCGGCGCGCCCCGTACGCCGGCCGCGCGCGAGCATCGCGTTCCGCGCGCGCTTGAAGCGGAGGCCGCTGCGCCAGTCCGCGACGCCCTCGGCGGACGCCGCGCGCGCGCGCTGCGAGTCCGTCGGGTCCCGCGCGTCCGCGCCGCCCGGCGTGAGGGGCGCGAGCTCGAACTCGACGGCGTCGCCGTCGTCGCCGACGTCGCCCGCGCCCGCGCCGGGCTGCGTCTCGATGTACTTGTAGAGCGCGGCGGCGACGGCGAGGGCGCCGAGCGCGAAGAGGGGCGCGATGAAGAACATCATGAAGCCGCAGACGGCGACGCCTAAGAGGCTCAGGCGCCAGTCGTAGCGGCGGTACGTCGGCCGGAAGGACGGGATGCGCTCGTAGCCGAGGTACGCGCACGCGAGGTTGATGATCGCGTAGCACGTGAGGAACCAGAGCGTGATGAAGGGCGCGACGGCGTCCAGGGACCCGAGCATGACGCAGCAGCAGCTCAGGCACGCGCAGAGCGCGAGCGCGAGCCGCGGCTCGGCGTCGGGCGACGCGGGCGCGAAGCGCGCGAGCGGCGGGATGAGGCCGTCGCGGCCGATGGCCGCGAGGAGGCGCGGCGCGCCGGCGAGGGACTGGAGCCCCGCGCCGAGCGTCGACAGGAGCACGCCGACGCAGACGAGCTTGTCCGACGGCCACGCGATGGAGCTCACGATGAACGGGTCGTCGACGAGCGCGCGGCGCCGGCAGGAGCCGCCGGCGACGAGCACGACCTGGACCGTGAAGATGGCGATGGTCGCGACGACGGCGGCGAGCGTGCCCGGCGGGATGGACCCCTGGGGGTCCGCGAGGTCGCCGCTGAGGTTCGACCCCGCGAGCGGGTCCGTGACGGCTGGGAAGAAGAGCGCGAGGCACTGCTTGAAGTCCCAGCCTGTGTGGAAATCAACCAGTGAGCTGGGACGTCGGGGCCAAACTTCAGAATTCTCTAGCTCGGTCAAATCGAAGTCGATTTGGCTGATTTTTGGACGAATCGATTGCTCTCGTCGAGTTCTCGAAGCACAGCAGAAAACCTCGCGTCGAAACGGTCGCATACGCGCACATTGAAGTCGGGTTGAAGATTTGATTTCCACACAGGTCCCAGCTGATGCCTAGCGCCCGCGTGTAGCGCGACCCGAAGTTGGACCGCACGCGGGCCCCGGAGAAGCCGACGACGCCCTGGTTCGGCTTGTCCTGGCCCGCGGCCGCGGTGACGACGCCCGCCCAGATGCTCAGCACGGAGAGCACGACGCCCGCGAGGAAGACGACGGCGAAGCGCGCGATGTACTCGACGCCCACGAAGACGATGAGCGACAGCGACGCGAGCACGGCGACGCCCAGGAGCCGGTCGTTGACGCCCTCGAAGACGGCCGGGAAGCAGTCCTTGAGCACCTCGACGCAGCCGAGCACGTACCTGCGCGGCGCGGCGTGCGGCCGCGACGGCGGGCGTCGGCCAGCGCGCGCCGCGCGCCGGGGACGCCGCGCGCGCGCATGGCGACGCCGAAGGTGTTGCTGAGGAAGAGGAGCGTGCCCGTGACGCCGCCGAACTGGGCGCCGAGCGCGTTCTTGATCATCGTGTAGCAGCCGCCGCCCCGGGGCACGCCGTTCGTCGCGATCGCCGACATCGATATCGACGTGAGCAGCGTCGTCGCGCAGCTGAGCCAGACGATGGCGAGGCCCTCGAGGATGCCCGCCTGGCCGACGATGAAGGGCACGCGCAGGAACAGGATGACGCCCAGGATGTTCTGCATCGTCGGCACGAAGACGCCCTTGATCGTCCCCAGCTTCTTCTTGGCGCCGGCGTCCGGCGACGCGGGCGACGCCGGCGCCGGATGCAGGCGCGTCGACTCCTCGCGCACGACCGCGGCGATGTGCGACTCCACCGCCGCCTTCGCCACGAGCGCGCCGCCCTCGGCGTCGTCGCCGCCGCCCATGGTCGACGCGGCGGGCTGCCCCGCTAGCCGCGATCAGAAGGAGAGATGCTCACAGCAGCATGTTGACTTCAACATCTCCTCAACGCCTCGCTTGTCCAAGTGTGGCAAGCGTTTGGCCCAGTCTCCGGCCAGGTGGTGCGGCGCGGCCCTGCCCGCCGGATCCCGCGCGCCGCGGAGCGTCCGGGTGCGCCATGGGCGTCGGGTCGTCGCGGCCCGAGGAGGCGCCGGAGGATGGCGACCTGATCACCTGGGGCCCCGAGGAGGCCGCCGTCGTCTTTACGGCCTACTTCGAGGGCACGGCGAACGTCGTCGAGCGGCGGACGACGCAGATCGGCCTCTTCCACGAGCTCGACCGCGGCGTCGACGTGGGCCTGAGCCCGGCGGCCGCGGGCGCCGTCGCGCTCGCGGCGCGCGCCGAGCCCGCGAAGCGCGGGCCGCTCCGGTTCAAGATGGCGCTCAACGGCTGCGGCCACGAGCACGGCCTCGCGGGCGTCGTCTTCGCCTACGGCATGCGCGCCCAGTGCGAGTGCGTCGCCGACTGCGTGCGGGCCGTGCGCGCGGAGCTCGGCGAGCCGACGACGCAGCTCAACGTCGTCGGCCTGAGCCGCGGCGCCGTCGCGGCGCTCGCGGTCGCGGAGATTTTAGGCGCCGAGCCCGAGCGCTTCGTCGGCGGCGAGGCTTTGGCCGTCCAGGAGGCCGAGGCCGCGCGCCTCGCGGCCGAGGCCGGCGCGCGCGCGCGCGCCGCGGAGCGCGCCGAGGCCGCGTGGGCCAAGGAGCCCCTCGACGGCGACGTCGCGCTCGACGGCGACGCGTCGCCGGCGTCGGAGCGGGGCATCGCGACGCTCATCGAGCAGGCCGTCGCCTACCTGCCGAACCTCCCGCGGCGCGACGGCGACGAACAAGCCGGCGCGGCGGCCGACGCCGCCAACGGCGGCGCCGCGGCGGCGCCCGCGCGGTCGGACTCCTTCGGCGACGCCGGCGCCGAGGAGAAGGCGGGCCCCGAGGCGACGCGCGAGCCGCCGCCGCCGCCGCCGCCGCCGCCGCCGCCGACGGTCACCGCGCTCGCGAAGCGGCGCGCGGCGCGGGGCCTCGCGCGGCGGACCATGCGGCTCCACCTGCTGCTCTTCGACCCCGTGCCCGGGAACCAGATCTTCACGACGCAGTACATCGACCCCTTTGGGTACTCGACGGGCAACCAGGCCATGGACGTGACGCGGTGCGAGGGCGTGCTCCGCCGCGTGCTCGCGATCTACCCCTACGAGCCCCTGCCGGCGATCACGTTCCACGCGCCCCTCGTGCCCGAGTACCCGGCGTCGGGCTGCCACGTCGACGAGGTCGCGTCGCTGGGCTGCCACCAGGGCGCGATCCTGTGCGCGCCGAACCGCATCTCGTGCCGCCTGTCGTACGCGATGGTCCGGTCCTTCCTCGCCAACGAGTGCGCCGTGCGCCTCCGCGGCTGCCGGCCCTTCGACGAGTCCCTCGCCACGCGCCAGGCGACCCTCCGCGTCCTCGAGATGCTCCGCGCGGCCGCCGTCGACGACGCCGCGAAGCACGGCGCCGCGCCGAACTCGCGCTTCGTCGTCCGCATGGCCCACGCCAAGTCCACGTCCGCCGCCGTCATCCGCCACGCCAACGGCAAGTACCTCAACGCCTTCCACCACCGCCTCGCGCACCGCGCCAAGGCCGAGAACGGCGACGCGGCCGTCGAGGCCCCGGACGACGACGGCGGCGACGACGACGCGACGCCCCTCTACATCCTCGACGTCGTGCGGTGATGCTGGCCGCGAGGCGCGCTCTTTTTTTAAATTTCGACGATGCTCTGGGGTGTACTGGGTGGTCGTCTTCGCCTCAAATTGGGTTCGAGGAGACGCGGCGGGCGTAATCGAGCGCGATACAATGGTCCCACGGCACTGCGCGGCGCGAAATTGCCGCTACCGTCGGAGATGGCGTTTCGGAGACTGACGAATCGATCTCCTCCCAAGCCTGGCGGAACGCCAGTTTGAAGGCTTCGCTGCGAAATGTGGAGTACTCTAAATAGCTTTGCACTGTGTGATCGCAGTCAGCCATCGTGGTAATCCCACGGCCGAGAGTGAGCATGATCACGTCAACCGGCCCAAGGAGGAAGCTCACCGCGAGTCTCGCGTCGGCCCAGATACCCGTGACGTGTGCCATGAATCCTTGATGGAGAATTTCGTCCCATTCATTCACGATCCCGCATTTGACCCACCAGTTCCCAAACATCTCCAGCATTTCTCTGGACACACCCAGGCATACTTTCGAATCATCGATGTATGCCGCGACAGTTCGAAATGGGCGCTCGAAGCTCGCGACGACGCGCTCCATGGGATCGCGGCCGTGACGATCCTTCGGGCTATGGTGTCCGCATTCCACGAGCCAAAGCCACCGGTGTCGGGCAATCTCTGAATTCCACAGAACGACGTGGGCCATAGCTTCCCCGGGCGCGACGATCCAGGCGTATTTGAAAGCGGCGAGCGCGTCCTTCGGCAGTTCGCGGTGTACGGTGCGGTTCTCCAATAAATAACATCCACCGCTACTGTCCTTTTCGTAGTAGTACTCGTCCGATTTCTCCCATTCCACCCTGGCACTCTCGGAGATCACGATGGAGTCGAGCACATGCTCTCCATGGTCACGCACGAAGTCGAGCGAACGCTCGAGCAAAGCCGTCGTCGTGGATCGGAAGAACCGTGACACGGCGGTAACATCTTCAAACGCATCTGGCAGGAACTCTAGGCACCGAGACAGTGAGTCGGTCGAGCCAAAGACGCGCTCCATGCTCTAAAAAGACTCGCTTAAAAAAAAAAGCAAGTTTTGTGGCAAAGAATTGTTGGTACTCCGGCGCTCGTCCGGCGCGCAACAACAGGTCAAACCTGCTCAAACCTGTTCATTCCACGACTAATACTCACCGCTCGGCCCCCTGACACTCAAACGAGCCGCTCGAAGCCCGGGATATCGCTCGAGAGAACTCGACAAATTCGTCACTCGTGAAAGAAACCAAATGCTGTCCGACCAGGAGCACGACGCCGCCGCCCCGGCGAAGGAAGAGCGCGTCCTCGCCGACGCCGAGAAGCGCGCGATCAAAGTCGCTCTGGCCCTGGCCGTTTTGCGCGATTCAGACGCGGCGCGCGGCGGCGGAACCGTCGCCGAGACCGGCCGCGGCGGAAGCGGCCGCGGCGCTTCCGCGGCCGGCCGCGACGCGGTGGCCGCGGCCTGCGCGGCCAAGGCCGGGGACGTCCTCCTCGCGGCCGCTCCGCCGCCGAGCGGCGGCGACGCGCTCGTGCGCGAGCTCGAGGTGCTCGGCCGGACGCGGCTCGAGGCGCGGCCCGAGCTCATGGGTCGGTTCCTGCGCGCCACGGCCCGCGTCGCGCGGGAGCTGCCCGCGTCGGCGCCGCGCGTCGCCGAGCTCGCGCGGTCCGTGGGCCGCGGCGTCGAGGCCGCGCCGGGGTCCTTCGCTTCCGGGCTCGCGGCGTCGTTCCTCCGGCTCCTCGGCGCGGCGCACGACGGCGCGCTCGCGGCGTGCGTGCTCCACGGCCTCGACGGCGTCCTCGGGGACGCGGCCGTCGAGCTGCTGGGCGCCGCGGACCTCGACGCGCGCACCGCGTGCCTCGGGCGCTGCGAGCCGCTCCTCCTCGTCTTCGCGGCCGTGCTCGTCCGCGCGCTCCCGGCGCTCTCGCGCGAGGACCGCGGCGCCGCGGCCGAGATGCTCGCCCGCCTCGTCCAGGACTTCGAGCACGCGCCGCTCCCGCACGCGTTCCTCGTCGACCTCGCGCACGCCGCGCTCCCCGCGCTCCGCGACGCGCGCGCCGCGCCCGCGGCCGGAGGCAAGAAGAAGAAGCGTCGCCGCGCCGACGCGTGACCGAGGGCGAATATATCCCTGCTCGAAAGCCCCCGCGCGCGCGCGCGACGCGTAAAAGTGTCTCGTTGAAGCTAACTGAGCCGCTATGCTGCCCCAAAGGTGTCATAGGTCTTTCCACGCTTCGTAAGATGGCGGCCGCGTGGTCCCCCGTGGGGCGGTACCGCTCCTGCTCCGCGGACAGCGGGTTTTCGGACGTGGACCTGCCGCCCTTGCTGGGCATGAAGCAGATGGACCTGCTGGCGCACCCGCGCAACTACAAGTCCTTCCAGGAGCGGTTCCCCGAGCCCGGCGCCGGCGCGCCGGCGTCCGTGGCCCTCACGCCCATGTTCCTCACGGGCCATCGGCCGCGGCGCGCGCCGGCGGACGCCGCCGAGGCGCCGTCGGCGGCGTCCTGGCTCTTCGGGGCGCCCGCGGCGGCCCCGGCGCCGCCGGCGGCCGTCTACGTGCGCGCGTGGTGCCGAAGCTCCGAGGCCGACGCGTACCCCTACGCGGACCCCTACGCCGAGGCCGGCGACGGCGACAGCGCGCGGCGCGTGGGGCGCACGGCCCCGCGCGCCCCGTCCCGCGCCGGGACCTGCGCGTTCGACGGCGCGCGGCTGCTGCTCGACGCGGCCGGCGGCGGCGCGCGCGTCGTCGTCACGCTCCACGAGGGCGGCGAGGGGAGCGACGAGGAGGGGAACGTCGTCGGCCGCGCCGTGCTGCCCGCCGTGCCCGCGGGCTGCCTCGTGGACAAGTTCCCGCTCCTCGACGCGGCGGGGGCGCCGACGGGCGCGTGCCTCACGTGCGCGGTGAAGCGCGTCGCGGGCTACCTGCCGCCGCCGCTCTACCAGCACGCGCTCTACGTCTACGAGCAGCGGCCCGCGCCCTACCTCGGCCCCCTGCTCCACATGAACGAGCCCTGGGCGCCGCTCGGCGTGTCGCTCGAGGCGGCGCCGGCGCCGGGCGCCGTGCTCGTGCCCGACGTCGCCCTCCCGGAGGCCTGGGCGCGGGGCGACGGGCCCGGCGGCATCCTCGTCGCGGACTGGACGCTCTGCAACACGCCCTGGGCGGGCGACGACCGCGGCTGGACCTACAGCGACGCGCTCGGCTCGGCGGCGGCGTCGCGCGTCGACTTTTACGGGGCCCGCTTCCGGCGCCAGCTCTACTACCGCCACGCGACGGACGACGCGCGCGTCCTCGAGGTCACGCGCGGCGACCTGCCCCCCTACGACCTCTACGACCACGTCGTCCGCGTCCACCGCCGCCGCGGCCTCGAGAGCTCGGACCTCGGCTCCCGCGCGGGGCCCGACGACGGCGCGCCCCTCGCCGAGTCGTGGTCCTGCACGTCGCTCTCGAGCCTCGACACGACCGCGGCGGACGACGGCCGCGCGAACGCGCGGAGGCCGCTCGCCGGGTCGCCGCGCTCGGCGCCCAAGGGCCCCGCGCTCGGCGGCTACCTCGAGGCCGCCTTCGACGAGGACGGCGGCGCGCCGCCGCCCGCCTTCGGCTTCCCGAAGCGCCACGCGCCGCGGCCCGAGCCAGGGTAGCGATGCGACCTGAAATCGCCCCCCCGACCTCGGTGAAATCTTCTGTCCGCGGCTTTGATTAATTCGATGTGCCGGGATTACTTACTCTTTACGTAACGAACGCGCGCGCGCGCGCGCGTGCAAAATGGACGGGACATGGTCCAATTTCCTTAAAATTCAACAAAATTGCGAGCCGAAAGACGAGGATCACCCGGCTTTGATGCTTCTTGAATACCGGGACTGCGAAACCCAAATATAGACGTGTTTGGGGCCCCTGCCAGGTAAGAAATTTTTTCGTTTCTTCAACTTGAAATTCAACAAAAATTTGATTTTCCCCACATTCTTTGATTTATCGCCCTATGGAGCCCGTTCCTCGGTGAATTTCAGAACCGGAACGCGACCCTGGCCCGAGCGGTCCGCGGTCTACGCGGCCTGCTCCGCGGTGGAATGCTCCACCGCGGCGTGCATGCTCTAAGCTCGGTCCGCCGAGGTACCCCGCGACCCACTCTGGGTTTCGCCCCCGATGCTTTAGGGGCGGGAGGAGGCGACCCCCGAGTCGGCGTCGGCGTCGCGCGGGCGCTTTTTCGTGGCGGGCTTCGCGGGGCGGCCGTAGCCGCGGCGGACGTAGTAGTCGTCGTCGAACGCGAAGAGCGCGTCGACGAAGGCCTCGAGGTCGTCGTCCGAGTTGTAGAGGTGCGCGCCGACGCGGACGGCGCCGAAGCGGCCCGTGACGAGGATCGGCGGCGCCCGATGCTTGAGCGCCGCCGCCGCGGCGTCGGCCCAGGCGTCGGCCTCGGAACGCGCCAGGCCCCGGGGCCGGACGCCGACGAGGCCCGAAGCGCGGCATCGCGGCACGTCGAATCGCTCCCCGAGCCGCCGGACGTGCGGCCCGGTCAGTTCCCGGAGCCTCGCGTCGATGTTCGACACCTCCCAGGCGAGCACGAGCTCCAGCCCCGCGCGGACCATGGGCAGGATCACGGGGTTCGGCCTTCCGCCGCCGTCGAAGCAGCGCGCGCCGCCGGCGAGCGGCGCGTCGTAGGGCACCGCGCTTCCCGCCGCGCTACAACGCATCGGGTGGAAGCGGAGCACCGCGTCGGACGCGCCCCCCTGGAGCGCGTGCTCGTCGCGCACGAGCGCGTACGATCGGTGGTGCCTCGGATGCACGTAGAAGAGGCTGCAGCCGTAGGGTCCCAGGAGCCACTTGTGCACCGACGCGGCGACGAAGTCGACCCGCGCCGCGGGGACGGCGAGCGCCGAGGCGCCGAGCGACTGCGTCGCGTCGACCGCCAGGAACGGCGGGCCGCTGTCGTCGCCCCGCCGCGTCCGCTCCCTGTCGACCTCGTCGGCGATCGCGGACAGGTCGACGACGGACCCGTCGATCCAGTGCGCCCGCGGCAGCGAGAGCACGGCGACCTTGTCCCAGCGCCAGCCGCCGTCGCCCCGGAGCAGCGCCGGGGTCCAGTCGCCGTCCCGCGGCCGCGGCGCGACGAAGACCTTCGCGCCGCGCGCCGCCGCGAGCTCCTGGAGCGGCAGGACGCTGCTGGACATCTCATCCTCGAGCACGACGACGTGGGAGCCCTCCTCGACGCGCGGCGCGACGCAGCGCGCGAGCGCCGTGAACGCGAACGACGTCGACGGGCACAGCGCGACGTCCTCGGGCTTCGCGCCGCCGACGAGCCGCGACGCGAGCGCGCGCACCTCGTTCGCTTGAGCGTCGCTGTCTTCAAAAAGCCAGGGCCGCCGCTTGAGACCGACCGCCTGTTCGCCGGCCTCCTGCACGGAGCGCGGCATGGGGCTGCGCCCCGCGCAGTTCAGGTAGACGACGTCCTCACCGACGTCGAACTCATCGGCCGCGTCTTTGAGATGCCACTCGCGACTGTGACTGATACCAACACAAGGCCGCCCATAATCACACATCGTCTTCAAACTACCTAGGTAAACTTGCAGTCGAAATCTAGCGCCCGCGGGCTGCGCCGGTCTCTTCCAGCCGCGAGAGTAGGAACAGTAGTGCGGCGTCGCACCGCGCCGCCGGAGCCCGACGCTCGGGCCGGCGAGCATGGCCGGCGGCAAGAGCAGCGAGAAGAAGCGATCGACGAGCGGCCGCCTCTGGCAGGTGCTGCGGCGGAACGCGTCGCGCAAGGGCGGCGGCGGCGGCGACGAGGGTTTTGACGGCGGCGGCGGCGGCGACGAGGTGAGCGTGACCTTCGACACGGCCGCCGAGGCCCTGGGCGCCTGCGGCTTCGTCTTCGTGCCCCGCGGCGGAGGGGCCGCGCCCACGGTCGCGCTGTCGCGGGCCCGCGGGTCGCGGCTCCTGCCGACCGACGAGCTCGTCGCCGTCGGCGGCGAGGCCTTCACCGCGGACGACGAGGCGGCCCTGGAGCGGCTGCTCCGAAACGCCGAGGCCGACGGGCCCATCGTGCTCACGTTCCTGCGCCGCCGCGGGCGGGCCCTCGTCGCGGGCCTCGCGCGCCGCGACGAGCTCCGCGCCGCGCGGCCCGGCGACACGGAGCAGCGCTTCGCCGCGGCGCCCGCGGCGTCGCGCGCCTGGCTCGAGGACGCGGCGCGGACGTCGCCCGACGCCGCGGCCCTCGCGGCCATCGCGGGGGCCATCTGCGCGGCCGCGGCGCGCGCCGCGGGCGTCGACGGCGCATCGGCGCTCCGGCTCGCGCGCGGCGCCGCGGTGCACAAGCGCTGGGGCACGGACCGCCGCTGGTCCGCGCGCCACGTCTTCCTGAGCCACGACCTCCGGCACCTCTGCTGGAGCAAGGCGCGCGACGCGACGCTCGCGAAGCGCGCGCCGAAATCAAACGGCGAGCCGGGTCATCCCGACCAAACTTCAGAACTCTCGAGCTCGGTCACATCGACGTCGATTCGGCTGATGTTTGGACGAATCGATGGCTCTCGTCGATGTCTCGAAGCACGACAGACGCCACTCATTGAAGTCGGGTTGAAGATGTGATTTTCAACACAGGCGAAGAGCGTGCCGCTCCGCGACGTGTCGGACGTCCGCGTCCGCGACGAGCCCTCGAGCCCCCGGAGCCCGCGGAGCCCCGGCGGCGCGGCCAAGGTCGCCTGCCAGGTGCTCGTCGCCGACGCGCCGGGCGCGCCGCCCCTCGTCCTCGAGCTCGAGGCGCCCGCGCGCGACGACTGGGGGCGGGACTTCGCGGAGGCCCTCGGCGCGTGCTGCCGCGCCGCGCGGCTGCCGAGGACGCCGACGCCCGCGCCGCCGCCGCCCGTCGTCGAGGCCCCGGAAGTCGAGGCCCCGGCGCCGGGGGGCGCGCTCCTCGAGGACCCCTTCTTCGACGACGCCACGGCGACGGGCAGCGACGCGGGCGCGTCGTTTTTGAGCGACGTCTTCCTGCCCGAGGGCGACGAGGCGCCGGCCGCGGCGCCGCTCTTCCTGCCGCACGCGGCGCGCGCCGCGGAGGCGCCGGCCGACGACGGCCTCGACGACCTCGACGCCTTCGTCGACGCGCCGGGCGGCGCGGACGAGGGCGGCGACGCGCCGCGCGGCGCGGACTCGCCCGCGCGCGAGCCGTCGCGCGCGGACGACGCGTCGGACGTCGAGTCGCTGGCCAACGAGGTCGCCGCGCGCCTCGAGGCCCGCGCGCGCGAGCGGGAGACGAGCCAGCAGACGGGCTGGCTCCTCAAGCGCGGCGCGGGCACGTCCGCGCTCGGCCGGAAGACGTGGAAGCGGCGGTTTTTCCAATTATCGACGGAGCCGACGCCGAGCCTGCGCTACTACAGCGACGACGTCGCCAAGGCCGCGAACCTCGTCGGGTCCTGGGACCTGAGCGGCTTCTCGCGGGTCGCGCCGCGGGGCGACGACGGCCACTTCGACCTCGACCTCTCGTCCGTCTCCGGCTGTGTGGAAACCAAATCTTCAACCCGACTTCAATCTGAGCGTATTCGAATGTTTTGACACAAGTTCTTCGGCTGGGCTTCGAGAACTCGACGAGAGCGATCGATCCGTCCAAAAATCAGCCGAATCGGCTTCGATGTGACCGAGCTAGAGAATTCTCAAGTTTGGTCAGGACCCCCCAAACCAGTGGTTGGTTTCCACACAGGTCTCCGGCGACAACGACCGGCTGCTCCGCGCGGCGACGTACGCGGAGCAGCGCGCCTGGCTCGGCGCCCTCGAGGCCGCCATCGGCCAGAGCCAGGCGGCCATGCCCGCCGTCGAGGGCGACGCGCCCTCGGAGGCCGGCGACGCGCCGCCGCCGCCGCCGCCGCCGTCGCCGCCGTCGGCCGCGTCGTCGTCGCGGCGGAGCGCGGCGCCGGCGCCGCCGCCGGCGCCGGCGCCGGCGCGCGCGCCGGCGTCGCCCGCGTCGTCCCGCGCGGGCGTCCAGGCCTTCTTCGACGCGCACCCGCCGCCCGTGCTGTCGCCCGCGAGCCCGCCGCAGTCGCCCGCCGCGCGGGACCTCGAAGTAGCGGAGGACCGCAGTTCGAAGCACGGCTGGCTCATGAAGCGCGGCGGCGGCACGTCGGCCCTGGGCCGCGCGTCCTGGAAGCGCCGCTACTTCGTCCTCGACGGGTCGTCGCTCCGCTACTACGCGTCCGAGCAGGCCGCGGCCGCGGACGGCGGCGCGGGCGGCGCCGCGCTGGGGCTCCTGGACCTCGCCAACTTCGCGCGCGCCGAGGCCGTCGCCGCGACGGACGCCCAGGGCCTCGCGCTCGAGTTCCAGCTCGACAACCGGGGCGCGACGACGCACGCGCGCCGCCTCCGCGCGGCGTCGTGGGACGAGCGCGACGCGTGGCTCCGGGCCCTGAACGGGGCCGTCCGCGACGCCGCGCCGGACTTGGGGCCCCGGGGCGCGGCGCCGGCGCCGGCACCGGCCGCGGCCGCGGCGGAGCCGCCGCGGCGCGAGCCGCCGAGCGGGTCCGCGACCGAGGCCGCGCTCCGCGCGGCCGAGACGCCCGAGCCGCACGAACAAACGGCGCCGCGGGCGCCCGAACAAACGGGGCCGCGGGG